CTCACCTGGCTTGGGGACAGTAATAGGGAGATGGGATCTGCCTGTACCAAGTTCTGCTTAATTCACGCTCAGGATCCAAGGCACCTACAATATGTGGCAGATGTGAATGAGTCCAATGTCTATGTGGTGACCCAGGGCCGAAAACTCTACGGGATGCCCACGGACTTTGGCTTCTGTGTCAAGGTGATGACCCTGGCCTGGACCTGGGTGTGTGTGGGGGGCCTGCTTAGACACCAGGACCCTACCTGGGGCCTCTGAGCTCCATCTTGGGTACCTACACACTTTTCCCTGTAACCTACACTGCTGGAGACTCCTTGAGTCCCCATGGGACATCTGAGGACAGACATCTAGTTCCAAAGGCAGATATGGGACCAGTCTATTTTCTCTCCCCACAGCCCAACAAGCTTCGGAATGGCCACAAGGGGCTTCGCATCTTCTGCAGTGAGGATGAACAGAGCCGCACCTGCTGGCTGTCTGCCTTCCGTCTCTTCAAGGTTGGACCCTGGGACTGTAGGGGGCTGGTCCTGCCTGAGGGGTCCCTAGTATGAAGAAGGAGTCCTAGTGCTGCCCTCTGGAAGTCTCCTGAATGAGGAGAGGGCATGACCACCTTGGTCTTTGAGAACTGGAGTCTGGCTTTAGGAGGCTTCTAGCCAAGAGCAGAACAGCCCTGCTCCTGAAGAGTCCCCATCTGGGAGGTATCACAGCCAGCTCTCAGGCCCCCCGACCTCCACCCTCTTTCTGTCCCTGCCCTTAGTATGGGATGCAGCTGTATAAGAATTATCAGCAGGCCCAGTCTCGCCACCTGCGTCCATCCTATTTGGGTTCCCCGCCCTTGGTGAGTATACCCAGGGGCACTGGGTGGGGGTGGGCATCCAGGTCCTGGTCTGGGGCAGTTGTTCTGACCCGTCCCCTCCCCATCCCGTTCCATCTCCAGAGGAGTGTCTCGGATAACACCCTGGTGGCTATGGACTTCTCCGGCCATGCTGGGCGAGTCATTGAGAACCCCCGGGAAGCTCTGAGTGCAGCCCTGGAGGAGGCCCAGGCCTGGAGGGTGAGGGGCCTGCATGCATCTGCATGTTTGTGGAGAAGGGGACCCTTCTCCACGGGGGTTTCCATGGAGTGAGAAGGAAGAAGAGAGGGACCCAGGGAGATCCCCCAGATGGGGGGTGCCAGGTTGCACTCCCAGCCATGCCCTGACTCCCCATGTCCCCTCTACTGCAGAAGAAGACAAACCACCGCCTCAGCCTGCCCACCCCATGCTCAGGCACGAGCCTCAGTGCAGGTGGGTGATGACCCTGAGTCCCCAGGGATGGGGGGACCGCCTCAGCTTCTCTGAGCATTCCTGGTGGAATGGGGATCCCCTTCCTTGAGTGACAGCCCGTCTGCTTCCCCCCACTCCAGCTATCCACCGCACCCAGCCCTGGTTCCATGGACGCATTTCCCGTGAGGAGAGCCAGCGGCTCATTGGGCAGCAGGGCCTGGTGGATGGGTAAGGGGCAGGGTTGGGTGGGGCGACAGATCCAGGGATCACAGACCCTGGGATTACAGACCCTGGGGCAAGGCAGCAACCACGGGGCCTCAGGGATGCTGCTCTATTTCTGGCAGCCTGTTCCTGGTCCGGGAGAGTCAGCGAAACCCACAGGGCTTTGTCCTGTCCTTGTGCCACCTAAAGAAAGTCAAGCACTATCTCATCCTGCCGGTGAGGAGCCCCCCTTGTCCCTGGATTCCTGCAGTGGGGAACACAGGACTCCCAGCAACCTGTCCTCATCAGCTTCCCTTAGGAAGTTCCCAGCCCCCAGGGTGCCTCCTTTTTCCCTGCACAAGAAAACATGGGGGGGGGGGGGGCTCAACTGTCTGGCCCAGGACGCAGGCAGCTCCTCAAGCCTTGTGCCCTCCCTGAGCTTTTGTCTGTGCTGTGCCCAGAGCGAGGACGAGGGCTGCCTCTACTTCAGCATGGACGATGGCCAGACCCGCTTCACGGACCTGCTGCAGCTCGTGGAGTTCCACCAGCTGAACCGCGGCATCCTGCCATGCCTGCTGCGCCTCTGCTGCACCCGCGTGGCCTTCTGACGGCCACGCGAGCCCAAGCCTGTAAGGCTTGGCATCAGGCGACCCGCCATACCTGTCACCCCTCCATCAAGTGGACTCGGAGGGTGCAGAAGGTGGGGTGGGATGATGGACAATCCAGGGGCTTCCCCAATCCGGCTTCCCGGTTTCTTTACCTCCCTCAGGCAGAAGATGCCCCCACCTCATACACCCTCCACCCCTCTCCCCAAGGGGAGGCCCTTCGTGGCCCTCTCCCCTTTGTGGAGCTCCTGGGGCACTGCTCCAGGGCAGGGCATTCTGAGAGAAATGGGGAGAGCCCAGCTGGTCTCATGCCCTGCACTTTATACAGACTGAGAGGCTAGTCAGTCCTCTGTGTTTTCTACTAGTGACAATAAAGATTATTTTTTGATACACCCATGAGTTCTGTCTGGCAAGACCTGGCTAGTTGGTGTCGGGAAGGGACCAGAAGAAGCATGCACCAGTGATGGCCTTGGTGAAGGTGTCAGGTGGGCAGAGGCCACGCCCTGGCCTGTCTGGATGTTTCTCAAGGGAAGGCGGGGGCAGGGGTCCATGTGATTCTCTGAAAGTCTCTGTGCCCAGCATGGAGCCTGGCATTCACTGGGTGCCTAATAATTGCTAGTTAAGTGAGTGAATGGATGACAAGGGAGGACTATCATGCAGGTTAGATACCCTGACAGAGCATAGAACTACAGAGGTGACCCTCACAGGGCCTGGGAGCTGGAAATGGGTCCACAGCACCCTTGTCTTGGGCTGGGAGGACAGCGAGTCCTGACAGCTGAACGTGCAGCACCTGGGCCTGGACAATGGCTCCATGACTTCCCTCCCCTCTGCTGCCAAAGACTCCCCCACCCCCAACCAACCCCAGATCTGCTTTCTGTCCCTACAGTTCCACCCCTTCCAGAAAGCAGTCCTACGGCCCTCAGCCCTCGGAAGGGAGTCTGGCTCCCTTCTCCAACCCATCCTTCAACACTCAGACTGATCTTTCCAAAATGTAACCCTGCCAGCTGTGCAGCCAGTCTATGTGTTTGTGCAAGGGTTTTACAGCTGGAGCTCTCACCTGATGGGAACTTCATAATAAGCACATCCGACTGGCAACACCTGAAACTGCTGCTCAAATCTCAGCCACACCCTCCTTCTGGGCAAGGGAGCCCCAAACAGACATTCTTTTTTTTTTTTTTTTGGTACTGGGGATTGAACTCAGGGGCACTCGACCCAGCCCTATTTTGTCTTTTATTTAGAGACAGGGTCTCACTGAGTTGTTTAGCACCTCACTTTTGCTGAGGCTGGCTTTGAACTCGAGATCCTCCTGCCTCAGCCTCCCGAGCCACTGGGATTACAGGCATCCAAGCAGGCATTCTTTCTGCCACAAAATCAAATCTGAATCTGACTTCTTGGATCCATTACTAGTTTATAAGAAATACAAGGACCAGAGGAACATGTGAAATGACACATGGGGATACAATTTCCAAAATCTGGATTGGGACACTCCACAAAGTGGATAACCTAATTTTTTCTTCAACAATAACAACAACAAGATTATAAGAAAAAGCAAAGATGGGAAATCTCTAGATTCCAAGAAATTCAGATTGATTCAAATCCAAACTAACTGCAAAGCATTCGTGAGCAGTTGGGGGAAATTTGAACTCTGATGAGATATATTTGATGATATTAAGGAATAAGGTTAAGTGATAATGGTGCTGTGTTTTTTTTTTTTTTTTTTCTTTCAGTCTTTAAGAGACTTGTTCTGAAGTTCTATAGGTGAAATGACATGATATCTCAGCTTTGTTTTTAAAGTAATCCAGAGGTGAGGGGGGTGGATGTGGGTCTAGTTTTGGGTTGGCCATGAGTTGATAGTGGTTGAAGCTGGCTGATAAACACATGGGGCTTTGTGAAGTTATCCCCTGTGCTTTTGTGTATGCTTGAGAATTCTGCAATTGTGGGCCTGGGGATATAGCTCAGTAGTAGGGTGCTTTCCTGCATGTGTGAGGCCCTGGATTCAATCTCCAATACAGCCAAAAAAATTCCATAATTGTTTTTTAAGTGGAGAGCCTTTGAGATGGGTTGGGTGTTAGGTGGGAAGACTCTCTTTTATAGGTGAGAACAGTCCCTCCCTGGCCCCATCACCTCTTTGTCCTGGTTGAAGTCCTGGCTCTCTCTCTCTCTCATGAACTGGGATTTGGGGAAGGACAGTGAGAACCAGAAATTCAACGTGGCTCTGGGCACATGCTGCCCCTGTGTGGTTGACTTGCAGATGGAACTCTTCAGCCACAGTGGGGGCATTTGTGGCCTGCAGTGGATGAGGCCCCTGGCGAGCCCCTTCCTTCTCTGCAGGTCTGGTCTCTGAAGTCAGGTTGTCCTAAGGGGATCTTGAGAAGGTCCAGCCATGGTATTGGGCCTCTGGGCCAGGCTTGACAGCCCTGGAAACCACTTGTGACCAAGGCACCCCATCCCTGGCTAATCTCAAGCTGGGGAGCTTGGAGCCAGGCCTGGCAGACAGAAGGGCAGAGAGACCCCATTCACACTCTAGCTTGTAACCTACTGGGGATCTATCAAGTACAGAAAGGGGCAGATTTTGTTTCTTTTTAGCAGGATTTGAGGTAGGGAACAGTGCCACCTTTTACCTGCCCTGGTTTCCAGAACCATCCCTATCACTGGTTGCTCCTAGGGCATTAAAGTGGTTGGATGCCCATGGCCACTTCTGAGATATGGATGCCAGGGTTTCAGGCTGGAGTAACAGTTGAAGTAAGCCTCCTCTTAAGTTTACCCAGGGGTTTAGTTTGCAAAAAAGGATCCAGTGCCCCTTAACTGCCCAAGGAACTGCAAAGGGAACTATCGCCATCTATCCTAGCTGGTGACTTAATGCTGGGTTCACAAAATCTGACTATTCCAAGAACTCAACAAAATGACAAAGAAAGCACTCAACCACACAGAAATACCTTTTTCAATATTCCGGAGATGGCTCTGTGACCTTAAGAGTCCTTGGAAAGAGAGAGAGCCATTGGAACTCTTTATTCTTATACAAGGAACACACAAGGGGAGGTTCCATGGAACATTCTATCCCCAAAAGGGCAAAGGGGTAGAATTACAAAGGAACAGGTGAGTGTACTCAACCCCTCTGGGCGCCGCCTACTGCTAGGGCCATGCCTTGTTATCCCAGCAAGGGAAAAGCCCAAGAGTCACAAGTCATGGCCCTACCACGCCAGACTACATTGATCTTTCAGATCCCCGTGGTGCATGAGGACTTAAAGGTGCATGAATGTGGAGTGGCTCCCCACAGGGACAAAGCCCTTCTATGTAAATCGTTAATCACAGTCTCTGTGAGATTGATGTGTGGAAGCATATCAAATGGGAAACTGAGGCTTAAAGAGACAGTGACCCATCTGCAGTCACAGAAGAAGTTAGGGAAAGTCAGCCTGGGTTGCAGCTATTGGGGTCCCTTCCCTGCCCTTTGTTGTTTGCCCCCTCCCTTCTCATACTGGCCACTGTGAGGGAACTCACTGCTGGGAGTCCCTAGAAGTGGTGGCATTTGGTGCAGAGCTGGACACTGGAGACTGGCAGCTGGACATCTTGGTGAGTGACTGAGGATTCTGGCTTCTTGGAGGAGATGCAGCAATGGAGGGTGTGGGAGTCTGAGGCCCCTTGAACCAGCTCACAGAAGGACCCTGGGCCAGAAAGCCTAGTTTTGAGGATGTGGGAAGCCTGCTGCTCCACCTGCAAAGAGACTGCAGCATGACCTACAGCGGCTGAAGGGACTTCAAGAGCAGAGGCAGTGCTGGCTGGTGAAAGCTAGGTTCTGAGGAAATCTGGACTGGTGGGAAGAAAGCAGGATTTTCTTGCTTTTTTTCCTAGAGGGAAAAGCAGAGGCTTGGACCTCTAATTCTGCCTTTTTAAAATTAATTTATTGGCTTTGATCATAAAAAATGTGCATGCTTATTAAATAACATTCTAGAGGCCAGAAAAAGAATCTGGGGAAAAAAAAAAAAAGGAAAGTCCCCAACATCTCCCCATGCTTGGAGGAGCCAGGTATTGAAAGAGGGTAATGCAGGGCCCACATCCAGGGAGCTTGCCCTAAGTGACCTGTAGTGCCTCAGAGACACCAACTTCTTGGGACTAGTGTGTTCGTGTGAGCCTAGAGTCAGGAACATGGCCATCCCTGGCAGCACCATGGGCCTCTATCAGAGGTCCTATCTGGAGGCTGTGGGAGACTCTGTCCCTAACTTCTTCTGTGACTACAGATGCGTCACTCATATTAAAAAAAAAAAAAAAAAAAAAAAAGAAAGAAAGAAAAAAGACAGGTTCAAGGAAGATCAGGGTGCACTGGCAGGGGTCTGGGGCCAAGACTGCTTTCCTGTCATGTGCTGTCTGCAGACACCCAGCTCTGGGGTCTTGCACAGTGGCCAAGCTGAGGTGGGGAGTTGGGAGAGGAGGTTAAAAAAAAGGGAAGTGGATCTTGGGGGAGTTGGATGATGCAGACTGGACTCTACAACTCAAGAAATAGGTGATCTTCCATACAGGAAGGGGGTTTGGAAAAGTGAGGGTGCCACCTGGGCTCTGTAGGTCCCGTGCTCTACTAGACCCTAATGGGGTCTGAAATTCACCCCTATTGGTTGAACTATGGTGGCACCTTGCAGGACTGCATCTACCCCAAGAAAGGAACAAGTTATTCTTTGTTGGGCACTTGGTGGGGAGGGTTAATTGGAGATGTGTTGTTGTGGCAGGCAGTCTGTTCTTCCTTGGATTGGATTTATCTGGAATGGTCGGGATAAGACTGAATCCACCCTCTTAGGACCACCATGGATCCCCTTAGAATGTCAGTAGTGAAAATGGGCCCTGTGGCCATGAAGTCAGAGAGGAAGTTGTATGTAGGGATATAGAAGGTTGCCTGCACTCCACATATGGGTGGCCAATGGCGGTGTACGTCCACATTTAACCCATTTCCATGGCCTGGGTCAGATCTTCCAGGACAAAGCAGAAGTGGGATTCCTGTTGGGCCCTATCCCAAAGTTTCAAAGGATTCCAATGTTCTCCTCTTTCCTTAGCCTTTGCCCACCCCTGCCCTCTTACACCCATCAGTCCCTATACAGGTCCCTCATCTGCGAGTTCCCTCGTCCTAAGCTGAGTTACCGGCCCCACAAATCTAAGGGATAGCTTGGTGAGTAGGGGGCGAAAGGAATGACCCATCAGGTGAGGCTGGAGTAGGGGGGAGGACGCACCTGCGCACTCATCCCTTCAGCTTCCCGAGCACGTGCGCAAAGCAATCTGCCTCCACCTTCTGTTCGCAAAAACGGTCGGAACGCGGATGCTCCGGCTCACGCCCCGCGCTGTTTAGAGCTCTGCGGGGCAAGGGCCCTGCTAAGGTCCGTCGGTCCTTCGGACGGCCTGAGGGGGCTCGCGTGGGCCACAGCCACGAACCTATCGCGGTGCGGAAGGCAGCCCTTTCCCTCGCGGGATGGAGGGCTGGCCCCTAGGCACCAGGTGGTGGGGGGAAGTGTGGCACCACCCCCAGCCTCGCCAGGCAGCTCCCCGCGCCCAGCCCTCGACGGCTCCGGAGCTGGCCCAGCCGCGCGGCTGCAGTGACACCCAGCGGCCGTGTGGTGAAGTGCGGGCGCGGCGTCCTCCGCTCCGGGCGCTGGGGCCGGCCTCCCGAGGTTCCCGGTGGTGGTTAGGAGCGGGCACCCCCCAGGAGAGGCCGCGCTTTGCAGCGGCTGCCCGCGGGTCACTTCCCCTTCCCCTCCCCCGTTTCCTCCCCTGCACTCGCCGGAGCGCCGGGAGATCCTGCCCTGCTGCAGGAAGGGCGGGGCGGGGCGCAGCAGCGGCGCTGGGCTGTGACCTCGAGTGGTTTCACTTCTGGATCCCGCTCCGGTGGTGATGGAGAGTACCTGGCCAGGGGCAGCGGGGGGACACGCAGGCAGGCCAGGTCCAGCGCTCGGAACCCCCGGGATGTCACGCGACCCACGCCTTCCTCGGTTTTCCACGCCCCTGGGTTCCGCCGCGCTGTCCCCCCCCCCCCAGCTGCCGCTCCTCCCTCGCAGCCGCCGCCCCCGCCGGGGCTGCAGACCCCCGGAGAGGCCCTGAGCAGCGTGGGCGTCAGCAGGAGCGAGCTGTGAAGCCGCAGGCCGGGGGTTAGGCTGCGGGCTGCTGAGACGCCCGAGCTGTTTCTCAGAAGTGCAGCTGCCCCGCCCCTCACACCCCCTCTGCTCCCACCTCGCGTCGCACCCCTTCCCCTCTTCGCCCCGCTGTGCTTTCCTCTCCCAGACCCCCAACCCGGGAATCTGCGTCTGGTCCACGGGGAATCAAAAGAATCCTGGAAAGGGTGCTGGACTCTGCAGAGCTTCCTACAATTCCACAGGTGAGGGGACAGGAGCCTGATACCTCTCTGTCCCCCACCCCTAGGCCAGGATTGAAATTTCATAGTACAGTTGAGAAAGTGACCTCTTCAGAAAATCACAGGCCGCCACCACCAGCAACATCGCGGCACCTGTTTCCCAGGTTCTGAGGCTGGTGGGCAGAGAAGGGAGAGGGAACAAATCCTCAGGCGCTTTGGTCTGATTTCTGGAGTTCGCAGGAAGTTCTGGAGCCAGGGAGAGCAATGAGGTTGAGGCTGAGTTTAGAGTCCCACCTGAAAGGTCTTTAAAAGACCTCTGACTACCAGGATGCCCAAAGAGGAAAAGCAAAGTGTTCTGGGCAACCAGAGAGCAGCAAGGCTGAGATTGGAACCCAGTAGCTCAGGTACTCACAGGAGCCTGCAACAGGCTATATTGCTGGGGACTTCAGAGTGTTGGTGGATTCACTCTGTATTTACCCCTCCCCAGGAGTCTGTGTGGGGAGGCTGAGAATGTAATTCCAGTGGGGGTGGGATTGGAATTGTGCTAGTGGCAGGACAAGCCTGGGGGAGGAGGTGGCACCTACCCCCCTGGTTCCCATCCACCAGCCACCCCAGGGCTGTGGTTTATTTGACTAGGCAGCTCTTCTGGCCCTAGGGGCTGGGGGGCTGAGAAGGGAGGTGAGGTGATGGGAAAGGGCTGTTCTGGGGCTTCCTGCCCCCTCACTCCCAGAGCAGGGGGGCAGGTTACATCACCCACAGGCCCTCTAACCTCCATTCTTTCCACTGCAGTGCTCTCTCCTTGGGTATGTGCATGTTATTCTGGGGGAAGGTCTGTTATTTTGGGGGCAGGGAGACAGCTGCCTACTTCACAGGTCAAGATAGAGTTAAAAACAAAACCACAGCAAACTCAACACCCCATGTCCTTCAGGGACTTTCCATGACACCTTCCTTCCCCTCTGCCCCAAGTCAGGGAGTACCTCCCCAGAGGGCCTCCCCACCCCAGGTGCAGTGGCTTTTGGCTTTTATGCAAACAACTGTCTGACCTGGGAATGCTCCACAGCTAGAACTTCTGGCCTGGGCCATCCACAAACTCCAGAAAGTTCCAAGCTCTGGTCTTTCCAGAGCTCTGGCCTCCACTCTTCCTCAGACCTTGGATTCTAAGAAATAGGGAAAAGGGTAGGGAGCTTGGTCCTTTCCCCTGCCTGTCTTTGGGTGGCAGTTGCCTGCAGGTGGAGGTTTGGCCCTGGCAGCATGAGTGACCTGGGGTGTTGAGGGATGGGGGTGGAGGAGAAGGAGGCTGCAGGTGTGGGGTGGCTTCCCCTGCCAGGCGGCTCACCACCTCCTAAAGCAACAAACTGGTTCCCAAGAATTAGGAAAGAAAACTCTCCTCAGGCTGGAAGGAAGCAGGGTCTCTCCCCTGTTCCTTGGCAAAAGGGATCAAGGCCTCCCTGTCTTCCTTTTCTCCCTGAGCTGCTTTTGCCTGGGGAAGGGAGTGGGGCTGGGGAAGTCCACTTACCATTCTCTCTGAGGCTGACAATCAGCAAGGGAGAGGCCGATTTGAATTATTTAATGTTAAAATACAAAGGCAGGCTGCTCTGCCATTCCCCTCTCCCTGTCCTTGGTGTGGAGTGGGGAGGGAAAACCTGCTGGAGTTCCTCAAAGCAGAAGGGAGGGAGATGGTACTGCACGCAGAGCCAGGGCATGCTGCCACCAACCTGGCTTACTGATCCCAAACTCCAGAAGGTCCCAAGCTCCAAAAGGTCATTCTTCTGCCTCTTCTACAGATGAGGGCAAGCGGGGTGGGGATAGTTTAGATGAGGCTGGGCAGAAGGCGGGATCATCTCTCAAACCCTTCTTAAATATTGTCTAAGAGAACAAGACAGGAAGAGAGCCTGATCTTATGCCACTCTCCCAGGAATTTTCTCTCAACACCTTAGGTTTGGTCCTCCAAGTACCTATAGACTTATCATTTTTTGAGACAGGTTCTTCTCACATGTTGCCCAGGCTGATCTGAACTCCTGGGCTCAAGCAATCCTCCTGCTTCAGCCTCCCAGGGAGCTGGGACTTCAGGCATGCACACCATCCCTGGCTTATAGACTGTATTTAATGTGGCTGAGTTTAATGACTGCAAATTGAATTTCCCAATGTGGAAATGTTATGAGATCTAACAGATGAAAAGGCCAGGACTTGGCTAGTGTTAGGAAGACGCTCTGTTGAGGGAGAACAGGAGGGGCATCAAGTAGCACAGAAAGACACTGTGCTTTCAGTGCATTGATCCTGCCAAGTTCAGGGCCCCCAGCCTCCTTGAGTTCCCTTCCCCAGCTAAGGACCAGTAGAACCAGAACTCTACCATGGGGTCTAGTGCCAGAGCAGGACACCAAGTGCAGTTTTAGCAAGTCCTCAGGGGAGATGGTTTATTTCCGTGATAATCCCATTCATCTTGATACCTGGACTTTAAGAAATAGCCAGAGGAGGGCTCATGGTATAACTCAGTAGTTAGAGCTTTTGCCTAGCATGTGTGAGACCCTGTGTTTGATCCCCATTAGGGCCAAAAAAAAAAAAAAAAAAGGGAAGAGAGAAATAGCCAGAGGGGCTAAATTAAAAAAATATTCCTTGGGGCAGAATGAAACCCTTCCATTTTCTGACAGCAGCACCCACAAATGACAGGCATGCACCAGGATTAATTTTAAACACACCAGAATTTTTTTTTTTATTTTTTCAGTGTAAAAATTGAACACGGTAAAGAAACATTGACAGCACAGCAGGGCTGTTTCATACACGATGTTGCACTCATGTTCTGCTGAGATCAGCATGGCTAGCTCAAAGCAGGCTTTGGACAGTCCTTTTTTTAATATTTATTTTTTAGTTTTAGGTGGAAACAATATCTTTATTTTTCATTTTTATGTGGTGCTGAGGATCAAACCCAGTGCCTCATGCATGCTAGGCAAGCACTCTACCACTGAGCCACGACCCCAGCCCCTGTGGACAGTCTTTACAGAGGAGGGGGCACTTTACAGTGCTCCAAATGGTTGGATTCTGGGAAAAACTCCAGAGGAAGGGAAAAAAGCTTCTACTGGGTAGGGGGAATTTCTGAGAAATAAAGATGGGAGGGAGAGGCTGTGAGCACAAGCCAAGTGGAAACTGCTATGCAAGGGCTCCCGGCCGTGCTCCTGGCGGTAAGGCCACTCTGAGCCCCAAACCTCCTGTGTTCCTTCCTCGTCATTCTGCAGACCAGGGTCATGCACAGACCACACGTGTGGTGGCTTTGGCAACCAGACATTTAAAATAAGCTACGGTTTTTCCAGTAGCCAAAATGATCCTTCCCCAAAGCTCATAGACTGAGAACCTGAGCATGCAAAACCACAGTCTGGGTGAAGACATGTCTACTTTTTAAATGACCTGCTAATTCTTTGCAACCCACAGTACTTTGGTTTCTGTGAACCCACAGAAGCTGGCCCACCACGTAGGGCCTTGTCTGCTAACCTGGAAAAGTCCTTTTAAAAATGAGTCATTAGCAATGGGATCAGTCATTTTTAAGGCTGCCCCATTTTCCTAGCATGTTAAAATGTGTGTTCTCAGTCTCTTCAGAAGGGAAAGCAGCAAAACCACACTTAATTCAGAATATGAAACAGGCCCTGTGGATGTATTGCAAGGGCTCGGAAAGAGGCGGCTGGCACTGTGGGGCCACTCTCCAGGCTTCCTGGAGTGGGGTCAATGGAGTTGAAGCTCAAAGACAGTGAGGGAGCAAAGCTATTCTAGTTTCCTGGGTGCATCACCATGAAGCATCCATAGCATGTGGTTAACTGACACTGGTTCCAAGGTTCAGCATAGTCTCTACTCTGATGCACTAGAACAATGTGAAGGAAACTGTTACACATCAGTTACCTTCATTTGCAATGAGATTACTATTATGGCTCTAGTAGGGTCTTGGGATATTTTTCATGTCTTTAAATCCAGACTTAGTATATATAGCAGAAAATTTACAATCATCCAACATAACCCATCCCCACCCCTCTGTCCCAAACAAAATAAAACAAAACAAACAAGTAGAACTAACCCATAGACAAAATTACATCAACCTCACAACACTTCTGAAAGGTAGATATTGTGGTGTCCTTACATTTTTAATTAAAACATTAATTTC